GTGTGTGTGTGTGTGTGTGTGTGTGTGTGTGTGTGTGTGTGTTATATATACTGAGCGTATATTAATATTTCGATCTGTGTGTGTTTATGTTTGATTAGGAGACTCCTTACATGATGTATAATAATGACACTCACACGTGGGAGGGATTCTGCTACGACATGCTGAACCACATAGCCATGGAGCTAGGCTTCAACTACAAGGTAAACCTACGTATAACTAATAACTCTATACAGAACTACTGACATATCTATAACCACATAGCCATGGAGCTAGGCTTCAACTACAAGGTAAACCTACNAGAGAGAGAGAGAGAGAGAGAGAGAGAGAGAGAGAGAGAGAGAGAGACCACCTGAAAGTGATGTTGCTTTCACCTGAACACCACGCATTATAATTACTGATATAATAACTGAATATTAATTCATGAAATGCAATGCGATGAGTCATCAAGAGTAAGGTTTGTTATTGTGAAGGAGGGATCGGAGAACGGACGGCAGACAGAGCGACCAAGTCACGACCCCATCACAGGCAAACCCATCCTCTACATTACGACCATAGAAGTACGAATGCACGCCTCCCTCTCCGCTCTTACCCTATAGCACCAGAGGGCGTTGTGTTTCTTACAGCTAACACCAGAGGGTGTTGTGTTTTTTACTGCTAACACTAGATGGCATTGACTTTCCCACAGCTAACACCAGAGGGCTTTGACCTTCCCACAGCTAACACCAGAGGGCGTTGACCTTCCCACAGCTAACACCAGAGGGAGTTGACTTTCTTACAGCTAACACCAGAGGGAGCTGTCTGGCTTTCGTGTTTGCTCCCACGTTACTGCTAGCAGCAATAAAAATTGTGATTTGGCTAACAGCCAAGGGCGTTGAATGTCTCTTAGCTAACATCAAAGGGAATGGTCTGCCTTTCGCTAACTCAAAATAACATTGCCTGTCCTTTAATAACACCAAAGGCAGTCGCTACATGGAGTTGTCTTTGCTTTGATCTAACATCAGATGGCGTTGCCTGTTTCTCATGCCTAACACCAGATGGCGTTGGTTTCTATAGCTATCTGCAACTGTCGTCGTCTTTCAAGGTTCCGTCGATTCTTCGACACAACACGTCACCAGGTGGCACTGCGCGTAATAAATACATAGTGAATACATAGATACTTGTTGCTGACATATTTATGTGTCTCTGTGACAAATACTGATCTCATATAAATATCTCTCCACAACTCCTCGTCTGCGATTGCTACCGTCTTGCAAGACTCTGTCGAGTTTTCGACATCGCACGTCACCAGGTGGCACTGCACGTAATAAATACACAGTGAATACATAGATACTTGTTGCTGACGTATTTCTGTGTCTGTCTGTGTCTGTGTGTGTGTGTGTGTGTGTGTCTGTGTCTGTGTCTGTGTGTGTGTGTGTCTGTGTCTGTGTGTGTCTGTGCATGCGTGCGTGCGTGCGTGTGT